AACTCATGCTTTCCAATTTTTATGTTATTGTTAAAAATGCCATCATATTTACTTATTGTTTAATGCAAAACAGATTGTAAACAAAATTATGTTAAAAAAAATTAATAAATAATTTTTGATAGTGTGCGAATAAGATAAGGAGTTTTATTTTTTAAGTGCATAATTCATTAACTCATTGACTTTATATTTTTTCCAAAATGTTTATAAAAACCTATTGAATTTGTATGGTATTTCCCAAAAAATAATGTCTGGGAACGAAAGTAGCCATCAAATATTTAAGTTAATACTTTTAGTGGATTACTAAGAGTTTATCTACATACAGCAAATCTATGGAATAATAATTATTCTCTTAATCGTTCTCTTCCCGTTGCGAAGCACGGGTATGGTTGCTAGTTTAGCATAAAACTTTTGTACCAAGTGTTTTTACTTCAAATCAACATAATCATCTTGTAGTGTATTCAATTACCTAGATAAAAATGTATAACACGTTGGGTAACAAACGGAAAACCGCAAAATACAACCTCAAGAAAAATACAACCTTTTATAAACACAATTTCACACTATTCAGTAAATATTCATGCATAATAAAATGCATGAAGATTACTGTTATATACACACTCAGATCCACTCTATATGATAAAATCCATTTTGAGGGAACGACTAGCAAATGTAATGAAAGAGAAAACAGAGAAAAGAGTGAAATGGGACACAGATAAACTAAAGGATGAAACTGAAGCTAAAAACTTTGGCAGTACCATAACAAGGAAAATGGATGAGTATGGAATAGCAAACATAGAAGAAATAAATACTAAATGGGAGTTAATGAACACAGCCATTGTAGAGTCAGCTGAGAAAAGTTTAGGAGAAAAGAAAAAAAGAAAAAAATTCTGAGTGGTTTGATGATGAGTGTAGAGAAGCTATTGAAAGACAAAAACTGCTTCACAAAAGAACAAGACTTAAGTGGGAAAGTTATGTAGAAGCCAGGAGAGAAGCAAAGTGTATTCTTAGAAGGAAGAAACGTGAGTATTTTAAAAATAGAGTACATGACCTGGAAGGAATGAGGGAAAGAAATAAAAGCAGGCGCTTATATCAAAGTATAAAAAATATTAAGAATGGTTTTCAGCCTAAACTTAATATGTGCAGGAACCAAGAAGGACAAGTATTGTACAAAGAAATTGTAGAAAACTGGTAAAATTATTTTAAGGACATGTTTAACTCTAATGAGTTTAATGTGTAATGTGTAATGTGTAAATACTAGACGATAGAGTGCAGATTGAACAGCCAACAATGGACGAAGTAGAGCAAGCCAAAAGAATGAAAAATAGCAAATCTCCTGGAGATGGTTAAATTACTGCAGAGCTTTTAAAGCATGGTGGGCAAACTCTGATGTTTCAGCTACATGATTTAATATGTAAAACATGGAGGGAGGAAAAAATTCCAGAATCCTGGAAAAATGGATCTAAGAAAATGTCGGTACCGGATCCGGATCTTGAAAATTTCGGATCTGGATCCAGATACACACTGTCATAAGGGCGGGTTTAAAAAAACATAATTAACAGAATGCCAATTTACATCATACTGTTTAAAATTAAATTGGTAATGTTTAAAGGCTAATATATCTTATATATTGAGTAATCTCCAGTTGAGCCCATAATCCCTCATTTTTTGGAGACACTAACAATTTTCAAAATCATAGAATGCACTAAGTTTGCACGACCACCAAAAGAGTATCTGTGTATATTTTACTATATTTCGATCTTGAGTATTCTATATCGTGGTTTTTGCATGCAGCATCCAATTTATTTATGCCTGGATCACCTCTTGTTAATCTCTCCCTTAAATTCGTTCCAGGTCCACAGTACTGATAGCCGGTATGTGAAGTTCAACAAGTAAAATACCCCGTGTCTGTGTACAAGAAGTCTATACTGTGTTCTAACTTAGAAAAATATTAGATGGGGGAGTCTTGACTTTTTATTCACCCTGTATATCTATATATATAATTCTGTAAGACAAAATTTTTACCAGAAAATTGTGGACATCTGGTAAGTTGCAGAAAAGTGGGAGAGGTCTTAAATTAAAGGTCTTGACCCCAGGGACTCGGGAAAAATAGCAGAATTCCCATAAAGTTACCAGAAAACGAGATATAACGTAAAATATCCACCATAAGAAATGCATGGTGACTGAAAAACGTCTGCATTCTATCAGCTGTTACTTATTTATTTGCAATGTTTACATTTATTCCGAAAGTCAATGTTGGTAAATAATGTTTCAAAATGAATTGTGTTTAATTTTTTTTTTATTCCGTTTTTATAATGACTAATGAGTGAAGTAACTAGACAGGGTAGGGGAAGACTTGCAAGACGTGGAAGAGTGTCCAGGAATTCAACAGACTTAAGAAATGCCAAAGAGAACGTCATGTAGGGCCTAACTGTGAAAGAAATCCAGAAGCTGTTTTACAACCTGTCTTTAGAAGAACGCTGGAAAATGAGTTGAGTGTTGTTTCTCACAATCTATGTCCTCTTAAAGCACTTGCATGCATTGTGGCGCATTTGACTTCGCAGAGGAGGCCACAATGGACATTTCAACGCATGTTGCCACAATGGACATGCCACAACCACAAGTAAATGACGAACTAAAATAACAGTTTTTACATGATTCGAAAATAATAAAAAACATAAGGCAACACAACAGTACAATGGCTTTTGCGTCACTTTGCGCTACACAAAAAGAGATTCCGGGAAATGGGCCTTACTGTCTTAACATTCAGGGACAAATTCATAGATATATTTCTGACTTACTACCGCGAAATGGGGAATTGCCTTCATAATAATTAATAAGTTTAACCTTTACATTTGGTTCTCAAAATGGAAACTATAACATAATTCGTAAGATTACAAAACAAATCTTCAATTTCAAACTAAAAAAGATGAGCAATGTTTGGCTGTATGATTTCAGCTCTGATTCGTCGTTCTCCGGGCTCAGGCCAAATCGTGTGCACGTTTCCATTTGTTAATACAGTGTGTTGTGTTATTGATTTAATCATTATTTTACAATTGCATTTCATTGACACATCAGAAGCAACTAATGTACGACTCCAACGGAAGGAAAACCAAGATATAAAAAAAGGAACACTGTTAAATTTAAGTAACATAAAATTGATAATTTTAAAAACATATTTGTCTTTTTATATATGGTTTTTTTTTACTGTAGTCTAAAATTAGGGGCTATGGACCCTACAGGCCACTAGTTCAGAGATAATCTCCTTGTACACAGACACAGGGTATTTTATAGTGATGGACAAGACCCAAAACTTTGTGATATTTTTTTATCACGAAGCATTGGGCGGGATTGAAATACTAAAGGGATATTTTTGAGACGAGATTATAAGCCGTTAGCTTATCATCCAGTTACAAAAGTAAAAACTAGAGGTGTGCAGATATCCAAAAAATCGGGTCGGATTCGGTTCGGAAAGATACATGCCATTGCCATATATGTTATTTGCATCTAGAGACAAACACTGAGACATTGCCATATATGTTATTTGCATCAAAAGACAAACACTGAGTCATGGCCTTGCCATATAAGTTATTTGCATCAAGAGACAAACACTGAGACATGGCCTTGCCATATATGTTATTTGCATCATGAAACAAACACTGAGACATGGTCTTGCCATATAAGTTATTTGCATCAAGAGACAAACACTGAGACATGGCCTTGCCATATAAGTTATTTGCATCAAGAGACAAACACTTGGGGAAAGAACGGTCTTGTACATGGATACAGGGATACAGGGCCGTCCGAAGGGGGGGGGCAACCGGGGCAAGCTGCCCTGGGCGCCGTGGCTGAGGGGGCGCCACACAGCGGCTATTTGTATTGACATAGCATTAAAATATGCGAATGCGACTATTACTTGTGGGGGGGGGAGGGGGCGCCACAACCACGTTTGCTCCGGGCGCCGCCAAGCAAGCTGGGGGTGTTCAGGGATCTATCGCCTTGGTCACCTCTGGTTTCCCAGCAACTGGGTAAGGCCTCGATCGGGTAGTGGTGTAAATAGGTGGTTGGGGTTTCCCCCATCAGCTTGCTGGTGGTCCCCTTCTTCCTGGCTTTGATGGCGGGTTCTGCCTGTCAGGGATTGGATAGGTCCCGAGTGTTGCTTGCACTAAATGCGTCAGGGCATTCCACTATGGTCCTTCTGGGTTTCGTACCTGGGGGAACCCAGGTGGAGTGACGCTTAAACAAGTAGCTGGTATCCCTGGTTAGGATTGAGGGGCAACCCTCTCTCCGAACGGGTGCTTCGGCAGCCGGTGAGCCTGATGACCTTAAGTCATCCTCCCATGGTGTGCCAAAGGTTGGTGCGTATGCTTCGGCCTACATCATGGGGCCCGGGTGTGTTAAATTACAGGTACCGGGTTTGCAGTCAGGGAGCTTCTGGCTCTTACGACAAAACGAAAATGGAATGGATGGGCGCCGCCAACCCTAGGGACGGCCCTGCGTTTTACCACCACACAGCGTGCTATCCAGTAGAGTTATTATACATCGATGGTCTCAACAAGAAACTGCACTTTTTCTCAGAATCAAACTGGTGACCTTTTGATTACTAGGCAAGAACTATAACCACCCAGCTACCCAGGTATATTTTTATAAAAAGACCTATGCAAAAGGACACTTAAGCAAAAGACATTTAGCTACGTAAGTGGTAGCATCTAAGAGGTCCCCGTTCAACTCAGTGGTGATATGTCAGTACACTAACTTGTTTTCTGACATGTTCGTTAGTGGCAAATTTCCTTTAGGGTCAACCATTTTGAAAATTGTACAGCAAAAGTACAGCAAAAAACTTCATACGGACTCTATTAATTGATAATACCAAAATTAGGATGTCCATTCAAATGGCTAACAAAAATCTGTTAAAGAAAAAAAATCTGTTCAAATTATCAAGTTTAGAATCACCTTTTAATTATTGCTTTACAAAAGCTTTAAAAACAATTATTGCTACTCACCTTACTAGGGAGTTGAAAAGTCCATACATCTTTAAACTTGGAGCGGATTTCTTTGTGGAGGAAGTACCTCAAGCAATATTCAGAGTCTCCAATGTTTATGTAGATAGAGTCGTCCACCGGAGCAGTAGGAAGCCACTGCGAGACCCTGGAACATTGTGCCTGGAGGACATCCTCATCTTGGTAGGACAGGGACCTCTCCACATTGGCAAACATGGTCTCATCCTTGAGCTGCCTTCGGATCTCATGCTCCTGGTCATTACTGAGGAACGGGACACCTTCGTAAGCTACCTGTAACAGTTATCACAACAATCCCTTGTATTGTTCATAATTGTGGGTGGTAAAATTGTTTCAAGTTTGCAAGTTAGTACATTTCAAAAATAGTATATAGTCTAAGAATGTGCATTTGTTATGTTAATTACACAACAATAAACAAACAACAATTTATTGACAACATTGTCAATAAATCCCAATAATTAAATAATTTTAAAACACTGATATGATAAAAGCATAGCAAGTAAAGGTTTTTGTGTTCAATACGCCAATGAATGTTTCAAAATAGATAGAACCTCCATTGATGTATGATAGACTTTATTTTCTTACTTGGTTTATTTAATGATGGAAACTTTATCAAATAGGCTAATCATTAAACAAGTTTCCAAATATACAAATTTTAAAAAACGTGTAAATACAATCCTACGTTTTTCTCTGAGTGTACTGAAAGTTAAAATTTTCAAATGACAGAACATTATACCGTAATTTTACTTTTACCAATAAGACAATAAATATAGTCAGTGCTCGATTTGCGAGGGCATGCACCCAAAAGGAGCTCCGACACCTCTCTTTCGGGAAGATAAAAATCCCCTTACATCAAGAGACAAACACTGAGACATTGCCATATATGTTATTTGCATCAAAAGACAAACACTGAGTCATGGACAAACAAGTTATTGCTCCGGGTATTAGCCATAATTTTAGTTTTTTAGTTTATTTGAAATTTATGGTATGTATGAGTATAATTAGGTACATAATAGTAGTTACAAATCACACAATGTGGTTAAAAACAACAAACCTTATTAAAATTAAACTTGTGTGCCCTTAAGAACTCCCATGATGAGGCCTGGCACAGGAATCTGTTGTCAACAGGCCCAAAGGAGCATGGGAATGTATGAAAACTGTACACATCAGCCACATATTTGTTACTGTCCCGGTCGTAATGAAATATCGATAGCCCAAATTGGAAAATTGTGAATTGCTCGATGCTGCATTTCAGTTTAAGGTAGCGTTCAGCAGCCGAATCGAACAAGCTAAAACAAGAACATAAATCAGCTACAATTTACCTAATTCACTGGAACAAAATAGTCACTGTCTATTAACCAGAAAGCATGAATTATAAGGACTTAATGTTTACTTTTTCCTTGGATTGTATCAACAAATTAAAATTTAAAAATAATATCCTATTTCAATTATCTATTGCTATTGTTGTATATATATATATAGGCTCTATATATATATAGGTCCTTTCTATATCCTATATATAATACGAGTAAAGTTTGAATAATTGTCAACTCGATCTGGGAATCGGCCCTAACAAAAATGTTTATATTTACGGAATAACTAAGTTCTGTGTCAAAAATAAGTTCTAGACCAGTGGTATAGCCAGGAAAAATCTATTTTCGCCATAATATGAGTACAAACTTTTGAAAATTTAACATGGGCCTTATGAGAAAACATTCCGCCATTATTGTCATTTTGTTTACATTTTAAGACATACCGTGACGTTCTGTACCCACGGGCACCTCAGCTTGCGCATGCGCAGAAAGCTCTTGAAAGCACTTTCCGAGGTAAACTGTTGTACTTCTGATGTGTATTAGCATAGACTAACCAACACAAGTAGACTTCTCATCCCATTGTAAATTTTGAAGCTCTTTTTTCATGTCTAGTATATATATAAATTAAGTAGACAATATTTTCTGAGTTTATCATTTATTTATTGATGAGTTTAAAACCATGCTTCAGCTGTTGCCTTATCTGTAACTCTTTACTGCCACATTTAATTCCTGTAAGGTGCAGAAAAGCTGTGTAGCCATCATTCTTCAAAGTAGACCTTGAACAGTATGTGAGCACAACAGAACTGCTGGACTGTTATGTTTGGAAGTGATTGTACAACTTTTACCAAACAGCTTTTATTAGTTATTATACTCCATTTTCTATGAGAATGTATAAATTATTGTCTATTTCAACTATCTTTTGATATAGGTAACATGTAAAATGTAACACCACTAAAAATAATTATAAATTTATAGACTTGGCCATCATGTTCCTGTATCCTGTCACTGATAAAGTTAAGAGTTTAATTAATCATGTTTATGAAAAGGAAGTATGTAGTGCTAAATCAGGATATTACAACACTGCTTTGTTTAGTTTTAGATACAACCTAAATTTAAGTATTTTGTTATGAGGTAGGCTATCTGCACTCACTTAGGCATTATGGAATAGACAAATCAAATTCAAATTCAAATTCTTTATTCACTCATAAACCTCTTAAAAAGTAAAACGTACAAGGATATGAGTGTTGTCATAATAAATTTTTATTTAAATACTATCATCTATAATATTAACACGTGACAGGGTTTTTTTATTTCAAGATTTTGAATCAACCACTCAACGGATTTTCATGATGTTTGTGTTGAAAGAAAGACAATTTTGAGAACTAGGGAATGTCGAAGCCATAATTTTAGTTTAGGGTCCCAGTTTTTTAGAAATTAGGTTTTAATTTTTGAAAAGTCTAGCAGCCGACGCTAACATTCTAAACTAGCTTTTGGTGTAATATAATTTGCTTAGCATAACAGCTGTAAACATTCGGCGTTTGTGACACAAATTCAGCATTTGGACTATACTGGCATGCATAGGGTTGAATTATTTATCCTATATGTAATGCTATACTCATTGATACGTTCCTTTATTTGGTAAGAGGATGACAAGCTATTTAAATATACATGGTGAAATGCTAGATGTTCTGATTTATTTTTTAGAGCAGTCTTTAAAATTTTAAGTTTGATTTGTTTTAACTAACAGCTGGTGGAATATAAAAATATTCTATAGAACTATCAGGTTAGTTATTATTATGTGATTTTGCCATTGATTATAGGAAATAAGTAAGATTCTATAACCACTCTGTCCCTGAGTCTTCAAATGAAAGGTTTTGCAAATTATTTTTCTGTTCGACTTTTTGGGGAAAGAATAAGAAAATAACCAAATTTACATGTTTTAATTCATCTTGGCAGCTTTTTGTTTACAATAAATGTTTAACCGCTTAAACTTTGCTCTGATTAGAAATGGAAATATAAAACATAACTACAGTTTTAGTTGACTACTCAATTCCCGTACGTAGGGGCCAACAGCTTGTATATATTAAAACATGACCCAGGGTTTTTTTATTTCACGATTCTGAATCAACCACATGACGAATTTTTATGATTTTTATGTTGAAAGAAAGACATTTTTGAGAACTAGGGAATGTCGAAGCCATAATTTTAGTTTAGGGTTTCAGTTTTTTAGAAATAAACTTTTAAATTTTAAAAAGGCTAGCAGCCGACGCTAACATTTTACTCTAGCTTTTGGTATTATACCATTTGCTTAACGTAACAGCTGTAAACATTCAGCGTTTTCGACACAAATTAAGCATTTGGATGAAAATGAAATTACATAAGTATAATTGACTTATTTATACTATGTGTAATGCTACAATCATTGATATGTTCATTTATTCAGTAAGAGGATGAGAGTTTATTTATAGTAAAATACTAGATGTTCTAATTTATTTTTTAAGCAGTCTTTAAAATATTTAGTTTGTTTTAGTGCAATATAATTTGTTATAACTATCAACTGGTTGAATAAAAAAATATTCTATAGAACTATGAGGTTAGTTTATTTACTCTGTGATTTTGTCATTGATTATAGGAAATAAGTAACTAAGTAAGATTCTATAACCATTGCTGTATACAAATCGAGGTTTAGGAAGTTTTATTCAAAAATATAAACTGCATGTGGTTCCTATAGCAGCAAGCTAGCGTACTCAGCCCCTAGTTATTCTAATGGACTAGCCGACCCGTGCGAAGCATTCACACTGAATCTTTCTCAAAGCCCACTTATCAAGGTACACAACATACAGTTAATTATTCATTTATTCATGTAAATTGTCACAAATTACACCATATACAGAGGAGTTTCCTCAATGGTAGATGAGATGTCAAAAATATGATACAAAAATGTTAAAAACTAAATTAAAATGTAACTTAAACATAATGAGAAAACAAACTCTCCACATGAACCATTTTACAAACCACTATTACTATATAAAATGAAATCCTCTACTGAATAAAACATATGGCTCTTTAGATAGTTAACAAGTTTTCTTTTAAATGCTTTGGCAGAAGATTCATTGCGAATATGAGGAGGTAGTTTATTAAATAATCGGCTGCCTGTATAGAATGGTGTCTTTTCAAAAGCTGCTGTTCGATGTATCGGCAAAGAAAGATTACAATTACGTGTAGGATAGTTATGTGTAGATTTTAAAAGAGTGAATTTGTGAAAATTTTCTTTAACAAATAGAAGGGTATGTAGAATGGAAATGCAAGGTAAAGGCAGAATATCTAGTTTCCTGAAAATTGGTTTGGCTGATGCAGTATGGGGGGAATTTGTTATAGCACGGACAATGCTTTTCTGAATCTTAAATATTGCTGGAGTAGACTGTGAGTTGCCCCAAAATATCACTCCATATGTTAAGTTTGAATAGATATATGCATAGTAAACCATTTTCAAAATGTTTATCTCCAGGATTTTTGATAAGTTTAGAATTAGAAAATGACCTTTATGGAGAATTTTTGATAACAAATTTACAATATGCTCATCCCACTTCAAAGAAGGATCAACGTGTAACCCTAAGAATTTATAACTATCTGCTGTCTGCAATAAGGGTTTAACATTAGAGTCATCAGAGTATTTTGAATTGGAGTAGTTGGAATGAAAATTAATAGCAAAAGTTTTATTTTTATTTAAAAGAAGGCCATTAGCTTTAAACAAAGAATTCATAGCAGATAAGTCATTTTCTAGCATTTTAAATAAATTAACCCGGATGGGGTGTTTACATAAAAGAGTAGTATCATCTGCATATGTTATTAATTTGGAGTTATGAACTGCATTTGGTAGGTCATTAGCAAAGACTAAGTAAAGGAATGGTCCCAGAATTGATCCTTGAGGGACACCAGCTTTAACAATGGAATAATTACTTTGAACAATATTATTTATTTTGACTGATTGTTTCCTATTATCCAGATAGGACTGAACCCAGAGAAGTGCATTACCACTCACCCCATAGTGATTCAATTTTTTCATGAGCAAGTCATGGTCAACACAGTCGAAGGCCTTCGACAGATCACAGAACACTCCGACTGTGTACTGCGATCTATCAACAGCCTCCGAAATGCCCGAAACAAACTCATAAATTGCCTTAGTTGTATTTCTACCCTTCCTGAAACCAAACTGGTTTTCACAAAATATGTGATTGCTCTCAAAAAAATAAGATAATTGGTTTAAAGCTACCTTCTCAAATACTTTAGAGAAAGTAGGGAGGATGGAGATAGGCCGATAATTGTCCAAAACTGAAGAATCCCCTTTTTTTAAAACAGGGTTAATAACACTATATTTAAGTATATCTGGGAATTTATGATGGTCAAAAGATCTGTTAATAAGAATTGATAAAGGATAACAGAGTTTATCAGAACAAGCTTTGACTAAAAAAGATGGAATGCCATCCCAGCCAGCCGATTTTGAAGACTTAAGACTTTTTATGACATTAAAAATTTCAGATGAAGTTGTTTTCTTAAAATGAGACATATTTACTAATGGAGTATTCACATTCGCAAGGAAGACTCTTACGTCATCTACATCTGTACTCAAGTTCAAATTATTACATGTATTTACAAAAAAATTGTTAAAAACTATTGCAATATCATGAGGCTTCTTATACGTAATGTTTCCATGATGAATAGATGTGATTGTTTTGTCTTTACTATTGCCTTGCTCAGCTTTAATATTATATCCCATGCAGCCTTTGTTCTGTTATTTGATTTATCTATAAAACTATTGTTGTAATTAAGTTTTAATGATCGAACACATTTTTTGAAAATTGCTTTGTATTTCTTAACATATGCTAGAAACTCTGGGTCTCTGTTGATTTTACTGAGTTTAAAATCATAATTCATAATTTATCATAATTCTGCGTAGTAAGTGTACTAGTATCGTTGATTTAAGTATGGGTCCTAAGGCTACTTCAGGAATAGATGTAGGTTTACATTTTAGATAATTAACCTTTTCAAAATATAATGTTAAGTTATGTTCTATATGTTTACATGATACTATTTGAACACTGTAAAGGAATAATATGGCCATGTACAATTTTTGTGTCAGTGGCTTTGTTTTTATACAGTCATGTTTTTCACTGAAAAAGCACACCCTTGACAAAGCCACAAAACCTGAATGTGTAAAAAAATGGGGTCTGGCATGTAAGATACTTCCTTTGTAACCGTCTGCCCAGTGTCCATGTGCCTTATTTGCTATTTTAAGTCATGGCAAAGGTAATATTTTTTTAAGGGAAGTATCTTCTTAGTCAGTTTGAAAGAATTACGGACGATTGCGTAGTCAGTTTGACCGAAGTCAGCCAACTTCGTCTTTCATAGTGTAGGTACCCAAGTAAGCTACAACTAATCTTGGACCATGCTTAGGTTTCTTATCAACATGATAACAGAGTCTTTTTTAGCATGGGTTTATAAGGTTACAAACCTAAAGGGCTTAATGAGTTCAAAAACTCTATTGATACAACAGAGCGTTCTACACATAGAACTACAAGAAGTGGAACACCGACTCATGCTGCGCTAGGTGCTTGAAAACGAGTCGCCCTACTCGGCTTCCCCCCCCCCCCCCCACAAGTCGGTGTTGTGGTGCAGAATGTACTGTACTATGCGGCACATGCTCCTAGCCCGTGTTTTGCATAACTAGCTCGCTAGTTTAATTGTTTAATTAATTTAATATATACTAAGAAACAGCTTAATGCGATGACATACCTACATACTGTGTGGCATACAACTGCAAAAATTATATATATATATACTGCTAAGAAAGAATTGCTCTGCAAATAAAATCACTCATCAATAAAGTTAGTAAATAAACTAAGAATTTTTAACAAGAAAATGAAAGTTATAGATTAAAAGCACAAATTTTAAGTAGGCTAACTGATGCGTGTCTTATACCGGGTGACACAAGGGAGACAAACGGTTTTCATCTACGTAGTACTGAGAGTGCAAGGTCGGAGGTGGTCATAATGGGCATAGTTCTGCTCTACACAAGACGCCATTTCATTAACTCAGTCACTATGAAACAGTGGGACTTGCAACGTCGATTATCTTGTCTATGGCAGTTTCATGAGTAGTGGTTCTTCTATTACAGCAACATAGCGATTGTTTCGTGCACGGCTTAATATCGGTCGACATTGAGCTGTTCCGAGCCGTAACACAATCCTCAGATGGGTGAAAATCTTCAGATTGGCTGGAAAGAAACTGTACAAGAAGCATCCTGGCCCAAACGCAATGTAGAAAATGTTGAAAGGGTAAGGGAAGCGGTACCTAGTTAGAAGCCCATGACGGTCAGCTAGACGTCATGCTAGTGAGCTACGAATAAATCGTGAAACTAATTTTGAATCCAGTATGTTTCAAGTCAATCTGAAGTTTTTCACCCATCTGAGGATTCTGTTACTGCTCGGAACAGCTCAATGTTTACCAACATAAAACCTTGCACAAAACAATCGCTGTGTAGCTGTAATAGATTCACCACTTCTCATGAAACTGCCATAGACAAACAATCGACGTTGCAAGTCCCACTGTTCCATAGTGACTGAGTTAATGAAATGGCGTCTTGTGTAGAGCAGAACTTTGCCCATCATGACCACCTCCCACCTTGCACTCTCAGTACTACGTAGATGAAAACCGTCTGTCTCCCGTGTGTGTGACATTTGTTTACAAGATGATTTTCTCCATTAAAACTGCCAGAATTTGTCTTATACGTGTAAACTAGCTGTTCTAAATTATATTCAGTTTTAATTGACTATTTTATACGTAGGTCAGGCCAACAGCTCGGACCTACATTTAAAACACTAATATCTACATTAACCAAAACTAGGAAGCAGGACATATTCAAGTTAACTTACCTGTTCTTTAACTTAGAGTGGGAGACAAGACCACTGAACTCAGCATCAATTGCAATAAATGCTGCTTTTTTAAGTGAAGTTTCAATTAGTTGATAGTTGTCCTTGTAATTTGTTTTCACAATTTCTCTCAGCATTTTATGGGTTCTAAAAAAAAATGATCTTATTAGAACATAAATCAATTTAACGAGTTTTCAGATCCAAGCATCAGATATAAGCATAATAGACAAAAGGTTTGACCTGACTCATCCAAGGGTTTTTAAATAAGATTCAAGATTTTTTATTTGGTCATTGAACATGAAATACAGAAATAGACCAAGCAAAATTATTAAGTTAGGCTACATATAAAACACTAGCTGTACCCGCAGGCTATGCCCCGTTTAACTTCAAAAGTGAGCTCGTTCGCATGGCTCAATCACGTCCTGGTTGAAGTTCGTTTGCTACACTCACTCACCTTTAGGTTGGATCTCGTTCGCTGCGCTCACTTGCCTTCAGGTTAGCTTGTTCGCTATGCTAACTCGCCTCCAGCTTAAAAGTTTGTTTGCTACGCTCACTCACCTTTTGGTTGCAAATTGGCTGTAGTCATAAATTTAAAAAAATAATAGTGTTGCACCCTGTTGGTAATCCTTGTAACTTTAATGCTATTGAACATCATAGAACAGAACCAACTTGTTTAATTGAAACAGCTGTTAAGAAATTCCTTTTAAATATGAAAAATCATGAGGTTAACATGGGAAACTCCAGAGCCACTGGGGCGGAGCCCGAAAGCCCGATCAGAATAAAAACTACTTAGTTTTCCTATTTAATGTCCAAAGAATCGGTGTACCTAATTTCAGCCTCCTAGGTAAATGGGAAGTGGGAGAATTAGTGATGAGTGAGTGAGTGAGTGAGTGAGTGAGTGAGTCAGTCAGTCAGTGAGGGCTTTGCTTTTTATATATTTAGACTAGCAGAGTACCCGTCCTTCGTACGGGAGGGATTGGCATATAAGTATAAAATGCTTATTGCATTTATACTCAAGCTTTGGGTTTACAATGGGGAGGACACAGTTTGATAAAATTTCCTTCTTTAAATTTACAGTTTACTATAGTATTACACATCTTCCATAGCCATAATGTTCTACCACTTCAGCTAAACAAATAGAGAAAAATAAATTATTAAAGATTCGCAAAATATCACAAATTATTCATGAAATTAAAAACATAAGTGTAAACAATCCAACTTTGACAGTTCTCATTGCGTATCACGGTTTTTGTTGCTGCTTGGTTCAAATTAGCAGTTTCCATAAATAAAAAAATAATAGTGCTGCACCCTGTTGATATATCTTATAACTTTTAATGGTTTTGCATATCATAGAACCATCTTTTGTAGTTGAAACAGCTGACTAAATTCTTTAATTCCCAATAAATATTAATACTCATAAGGTTAACATGGGGAACTACAGAGCCACTGGGGCGGAGCCCGAAAGAATTTTTGAGATAAGAATACACCTATATGTTAATCGGGAATGTGAGCTATCATCATGCCAAATTTCAGCCGAATCCGTCCAGCAGTTAATGCGTGATTGAACTTCAAACAAACAAACAAACACACAAACTTTCACATTTATAATATTAGTAAGATAAGATAAGATTACAGGCTACATATATAAAATATTACATATCAGGTACATGGTGAATAGACATTTTTATTAGGCAACACAATGATCATTGTTGGCCGAACGGTCTAGGACCCTCTAGCATTATTGATTGATCGTCCAATGAAAAATTGTATCTGGATCCAGTAACTTTCTCGCTTGGAATTGAACCAGCGGGGGACCTAAGATTTGAAGGAGAGTACTATGGTTTCCTCAACAAAACCATCTGTGGCCGAGTTTGGTGGGAGAGGCCTGCCTTAAACTGGGTTTTCCTAGATACATATGAGGAGAGTGGAAAGGGAGAGTTGAGTCTGTTCTCCTCTGGGCATGGGTGCCGACTTCACAAGAGATGGTGGGGCAATATGTTCTTTACTGAAAACATAATAATGTAGGCCTATTAAATTTAAAGATCCAACAATTACAATTCTCGGTAGGCCAATGTATTATATACCAGACAGTAAACATAAATCTAGCATGGTGTATGGTAGATAGTGGTACCATCTACCATCTTCTATATACCGACTCATATGTTATACAGTAGTACCAGGGGACCGAGCCTTGCTCGATTGTGGTTAATTGGGTTTAATCATTAAAACAATATCGTAAACAGACACATTTTATAATTTATGAAAATACATTTTTATTACAAACCATAGAAATTTGATCACTGAAATAAGAAACAACTCTGTTCTGTAATGCTGTAGGCTACTCTGTAGAAGGATGCAATAAAAAAAAATTAGATACACTTTTATGATCTTTGACTAAGTTTAATTGACCCTCGCACAGAATGTTTCTCCCCTCTAGTTATTAAACTAAAACGGCTACTTTAAAAACGGTCGTATGTAAAACCTTTTGCCTGTACCCTCTAAATAAGTTATGTTGAATCAAATGGGTGTGTTTAGAAAACATAATGCACAAGAGTATATTTGCGTTACTTTTCAAAAGTGCTCACGTTGCTCGCAAGTTCGTAGAAAGATGTTAGTGTCAAACACGACTAATTAAAAAATTATCATTGTGTTCTTTCAACTCATTATGTGTATGAAACACTCCTCACTGAGATCTGAACCTAATCATAGGATGAACAGACCAAGGACTTTTTACGTGGTTTTTTACACATGAACTTATTTATTTATTCCTACGGCAAATGCCACTAAACAATACATATCCAAACAAGATGGTTTGCAAAAATGAATACAAGAATTGCAATTACATGGCACAATATACATACAAAAGACTAGAAAAGGTTTCAGATTGCATTGAATGATCCGACTCATTACAAAATAATACATTCACGAACAAGCAGAATAATTAGTTACAGACTAACATTGCAAGAGACATCATATCATATTAATTATAACGACCGAATAAATACTCAATACAAAATATTATATACACGAAGAAGCAAAATAAATAGTTAAAGACTGACATTACGAGAGATATTCATATCACTAGTTACACAACAGAATAAATACTACAACAAGCAAAATACAATACAAGACAGGAACAAGGCAAATTAATCAAATTTTACATGACTCATATTCAGTAACTTCGGTAGGATGTAACTTCGGTAACTTAGTAACTTCGGTTCGGAACTTGTGGAACATGTAGGCTAGTAAGGCTACAACAAGATAAGGTCCACATTTCAATTAGTAAAACTAGACGGTCATTAAATATTGCCATCGCTACTAGGGCACAACATCAACACTGAGCTCTTTATTTCCCCTCCACCACCTGTGAGTTTTAAGCGGCAAATGTCGCTTTCGCGAGCCTGAACATCACGTGGAAATTGAAAACGCCGAACACAAAACCATTATCATCCTCTAGCTATAGTTATTGTGCAAAGTATAGTCATATATGTGTTGTTTTTCTGAATGATCGACGAGATAGAAGACGAGAAAATTCTGGACCTAGTAAGTAAACCTCTATTGTGTTCTCACAGTGTTTTCAAAAAGAGAAGTGAGTAAGGATATTTTAAAATACTTATCAAGAACCACTTTACGCCTATGGTGCAAGATTTATTGAACAGAAGTTCATATAAAGCGGACCCTCAGACAGGCGTGGCCCTTAGAATGGAATCCCAGGGCCGCAATGTGCGTTCAAATTGTTGATGTTCATGTGTCCTGCAGTTCACACGTCATCCAGTGGCAAGGGGGGGGGCTACAGGGGCTAAAGCCCCCCCCCCTTGGCCCTGGAAAAATAAATGTAAACGTACATTTTGTCCTTAAAACAAGCAATGTCATTAAACAGACATCAATGTAATTTTTATTTAACTTAATAAGCGATGACAGGAGTAGTATTAAGTTCCACATAGATAAACTTTGTGGACAATAACACAACGAATAAAACAATATTATGCTACGGAAAGTTGTACGCATCATCCATCTTTTAGAACAGTCAGCTGTTGACATGCTAGGGCAAAGTCAGTAAACAGCTTTTAGGGGGATATGGCCGTAGCCCACAATATGTTTTGAGATTTATAAATGCTTGAAAACATTAAAGCTCAACCTGAAACCTGCAACATGTACTTGGACACGGATGTTCTGAGCGGCTTGATGGCGGTCCAGTCGTGGGATCACGTCCTTGCACACCAGGATGTTAATGATTGTTGTGACGTTTTTTTAAACACTTTTTCTAGTTTAAAACTTAAAGCTATGCGCGTGATAAAACCCACCTCTAGATTTAAGAAATTAAAGCCATGGATAAACACAGAGTTAATATTTGCTATTAGAAAACGAGATAAAATGAGTAAACTGGTTAAAGCCCGACCTTTTGATAAGCAATTGAAATTTCAATTTCAAGCTTTTAGAAACCAGTTATCAAACAAAATCAAAACCACTAAACAAAATTTTTACAGAGAAAAAATAACAGCCTTTGTTGACAACCCCAGATTATTTTGGAAACATATAAATGAATTTAATGGAGCAAATATAAAGAGATGCAATTTTCCATTTATTATAAATATTACAAGACAAATAAATCTAAATTACAGATATTACTAAAAATTTTGATTCTTTCAATATATATATGTTGGATGCCTGTTCCATCTTCGAATTCTCTAGCAGATCTCCATTTTTTCCGAGATCTTTTCAGACACATGCTTGTTGCCCTTAAAATTGAACAAGTCAGTCTCGTTCTTATCCAATTGACTACTAGGCTGTAAGGCTTAACCCATTTTTCTGACAATCTTTCAGCTAATGCTCTTATTAGTGTTTGAAAATCATTGCCTAGGATTCCGCAAACTGATGTAATCAAAGGGGTGAAAGAGGCATTCCGGTTCTCACAAGCTGTCATATACTTTCTCTTCTTTTCTTCTTCTGCATTTTTTATGACATTTTCATGAGGTTTGGAAACATATGAGGGTGCATCGGTGCATCGGTATCTACGACACGGATATCAAATAATGCATCCCTCTGTGTTTCCCACACCCCTCTACATGCCAAGTCAGCTTTGATTGCAGGCCCGTTTGCATTTCCATTCTCTGCTATAAGGGGCTCTTCGATACAATTCCCCCATG